TTCATCACTTTTCTTACGAAAATATAACGAGATGAGCGTGATGTCATCGGATGTCTTTACTCCTCGGCGATCGGAAACAGAATGTGTGCCAAAATGGCGGCCACTTGCTTTTTATTAACGAACTGTCAAAGTCAGTGTCACCATTCTAATAAAATTAAGGGTATCGATGATCACGCTCTCTTTACAATCGAGTATTTAAGTAATCGAGTAACTAGCAATTAAAATAAAAGAAACTAATTCAAACGATCTTCGTAATGATGATGCGACATATATAATACTTTTATTTACTGAGAAAAACAAATCAATTTTGTTAAAAATAAAGTGTATTTAAAATACATAATACAAAATTGATTAGTCGATTCCATATGAAACCATTTTTTCAGTTTCACAGTTTTATATAAAGCAATACTTAAATAAAAAATAAATAAAAAAATATTAAATTCAAAAACGAAATCCACAAAAAAAAATATTAAAAAAAAACATTTTTTTTTAATAATATTAGTACAATTTTACAATTCTCAACGTTAAAAAATAATAAGGGTTATTTATTATATTAATTTGAATTTACTATTAATAAAAATAATGTTTAATTGCATAGGTGTGGGTATAATTTTTAGTATGTTATATACTCGTATAATACGTATTTGCTAATTTTACTCTCTTGCTATGACTTTTAATTGACTTTGAGTTTTATTACCTTTTCATTGATCAGCTGTAAGTCTTCCGATAAGTGAATAAATAAATAATTGTTGTGTCAAAAATTTAATTTATTTTCAAAGTTGTTTATGTTTTAATATATTACGGCGAGTTTGCTTTTAGTATATCTCTTTTTTAAGTATCAGCAAAGATTTCTGAATGCTATGCTGTTAAAGTCATATAAGTGTTATATATGTATTATGTGTGTTTTTTAACATTTATATATTTTATTAAATGAGTTTTATTCATATTAGGAAAATGAAGGAAATACATTACTTTTCGTAAAACAATTTAATCGGCCTTCGTCATAACAATAAATTAATAAATAATATTCAATTATAAGTGTTCAGTTATAATTGCATTAGAGGTATTGTAATCCTTAACGTAAACACATGAGGGACAGTGGATTGTTATTGGTAGTAGTAAGTGTGTGGGCGGGGCGTAGTAAACACTGCATGTTCATGCAAATATCGATGCGAAGTGATAGAGCGCTAATTCATTGGTCATTGTCAAACAGGGTGGATGCAAAAAGGAGTATGTCAAAGTAGGCCCGCTGGGCCCAGGAGGCATGCATACAATCATAGCCCACTGCCCTGTTGCAACAGCCAAATCATTGGCGGCAATTGGCAGGCTCCTTGTTGGTTGGAGTTGTGCCCGTGTGCAGTTATTAGAACCTCAACCCATGAGGTGTTTTAAGACGCAGATAGGGGCAACATCTGTTTCAGGTGCGGAAATCCTGGACACAAGCGTGCTTCATGCAACGCTACCCCCTGATGTGTTGTTTGCGAAGAGGCTGGTAGGAATAGCAAACACGTTATGGGGGGGAAAGCTCCAATGCGCCCAGGATACGTCCTAAGCCCTCTCCTGGTAGCAAGGGCACTAATGCAGAGGTAAGGTCTGATATGGCCATGGAAGTCGTTCCCGTCTCTACCGATGCTTAGAGTTCCCATAAGCATTATACAGAGTAATGTCAACCACTGTGCGGGCGCCCAGGATCTTCTCCTGCAGAGCGCCGCCAGGGTTGGGGCAGATCTCATACTGGTTTCGGAACCATATAGTATTCCGCAATCTACACGCTGGATTGCGGATCTGGATGAGTCCGTCGCAGTTGTGGTCCCCACCACTGCTGCTTTTTCGCCCCCCTTTTCGTTTAGGGAAAAGAGTTCAGACTACATTGCAGTTTCGTGGGGGGGATCACGATCGGCGGGGTGTATTTTTCGCCGACCCGCCCCTTCTCTGAATATGAAGATTGGGTGAGGCGTTTGGCATCCCAATTCACACTGGTTCTGGGGGACTTCAATGCCAAACACACGGCTTGGGGTTGCCCCAGAAACTCAATGGAGGGGGATTTAATTTATGAATGGGCGGCATCTGCTGGGCTTGAAATTCTCAACAAGGGACGCGAAATCACGTGCGTGAGAAGATATCTCGGGCAAACTGTCGGCTCAATTGTCGATCTCACGTTCGCGTCCCCTGCATTGGCCCAGAGTCGAGGGTTGGCGGGTACTTGTGGAGGAGGAGTACCTATCGGACCATCGATATATCCGGTTTGATATATTGATAGCTTGTCAAGTAGACTGAGTTCTGCAGCTTTTGCTGTTAAGAAAATTAGACTTTTGACAAATGTTGAAACGGCAAGATTGGTATATTTTAGTTATTTTCATAGTGTAATGACGTATGGTCTATTGTTGTGGGGTTCTGCGGCTAGCATTCAGGATATTTTTATTCTACAAAAGAGAGCTGTCCGTGCTATATATAATTTACGGTCTAGGGAATCTCTCAGAGAAATATTTAAAGAAATAAATATTCTGACTGTTGCCTCTCAATACATCTATGAGAATATTATGTACACAAGAAAACATTACGATTCGAAAAAATATACTTATGAGTGAAGGCTATTATAAAGTTGATGATTATTTTAAGGACCGCAATGCATGGAATTAATAGCCTTCGCTCTGTTCTATAACGATTAATTATAGGTATGTACCAACCTATGTCCTACTATATGTATTATTTTGGTAATGCCAAGATTTATGTAAATGTCATTACTTATGATAAAAGCTAATAAGTTTCTTTCGCTTGTTCTTCTTGTCAGCTATAAGACGTCCTGAACAAGTGGTAGGGGATAAAATATTTTTGGACGATTCAAAAGTGCTTGTAACAAGCTTACTTGAATAAAAACATTTTCATTTCATTTCACTCCCATAGTCATCATCACAATCGTATTCTGCATCCGAATCCTTTCTACCTTTTCCTCTAGCCGCAGATATTCCGGCGTTATGTTCAGCCAGAACCTTTTTACGCTGAGGAGAAGGTGAAGGTCGACGGAAGAAGGTACTACTTTCCTCTATGTCCGAGCTATGTATTGAATCACACGCATCCGGGATCCGCATCGGGGACGCCTCTACCGCAAGTCTCTTGTGCGCGTGCTCCTTGAGAGTTACGTTACTGCCTCCGCTTCCCTCGCTCGATTCCGAACTGGTGCGCGTTCGTTTGCCCAATGATAGGTTTGAGCCTGCATTCAGGGGAGGGGGAGCGGTAGGTGGTAAGGTCGGCGTAGTCGTAGACGTAGTCTTTTGACCCTCCAGGCTCAGAGACGTCGAGGAGGCACCTTTAATCAATGAACCCCGCTCATGGATTTGATAAGTGAGGGGGTTGGAGCACTCTTTCCACTTGCTTGTTCCGTCGGGTCTGTTATCAACGACGACGGTGAGGGGGATATAATAACCTCTGTCGTAGATGGGTCAGTCATGTCCAGCTTTGTCAGAGCAGGCGACGATGTCGAACTAGCAACCGACAACGCCCTTGTTTGCGAGCGCGTTGTTCTTCTGTTTGGCGATCGTGAGCGGGAACGTGAGCGCTGCCTTGTTCACGGGCCACTCGTATCAGCAGTAGAGGAACTACGTCTACTTCTGTCATTCTCCCTCTCAGTCGGTCTATCAGTCTCGACGGAGGGGTCTCTGGAATGAGACGGGTCTCTAGAGTGAGAATCCTCAGTTCTCAGCTCCTTCGAGACTTCTCCGGAAACTTTCCCGATTATAAGCACAGGATTTTTGCCTCTACTTCCACTACCACGACCAGCCATGCGCTGACCCTTAGGAGGGTCTTTAGCAAAATCCAGCTCGCTCAACAAAGAACTCACCGGGCCTTGGCCCTGAGAAGGGCCTTTTTCTTCGCTCCGGGAGCTTCCGCCCGCGCAAGACTCATCTCCTCTGTTCGGAGAATTTGAATGGGCCCCGACTGTGAGTCGTTCTGTTCTGCATTAGAATTTATGATTTGTTTTATTTGTGTGTCGATAAGAAAACTATTTCAATTGTGTAGTCATACGGATGTTTAAAGTTCGTGTTTTAACATTTAGATTATAATAGATTTTGAAATATGACATCACGAAATTTAGAACCTTTCCCACCGTCTCGTCACACAATGTTATACTTCGTCGACTCCCTCTGTCCCCCTTAACGGTGAAGTAATTTATCGACGGATAATCGTAAGCGAGACGGTAAGGTACCCCGAGATAGGGTGCCGGGGCTGGTGGAATTTTTAAGCATCCTTTATTAAGAATAGAATCGGGAATGCAAAATATAATAAACAAGATCAGAATTCAAATACTGTTTATTATGTTAAATAACTTTTATCGGCGAAGTATCAATAATAAAGTAAACACAATCTACGACCACTTCTCATCACCGGAATCGCAACTCACTGTACATTTATAATCAACAGGTCATTCACAACATTCACAAAACGGAGATCGAATCGCGGGCGCGGTCCGTCAGAACGAGACGTGGGACTCGAATCCCGAGTCAACGGAACGTTCGCTGAAGGGGAACACCCGGTCCGAACGGTTCGGCGATCCCGCCTCGAGCCGCGGGTCCCGCCGGGGACGCGTCTCTATCTTCCTACGCCGATCGTCGACGGCGGGACGGAGCAGAGAGCGGCCTTCCGGGGGGCGGCGGAGGCGGAGGCGGCGGCGGCGGCGACGCCACGCGCTAGCGCGACTAGCGCGGGGTCAGAGCGCGGCCACGGCGGCGCGCGCGGCGTGCGGCGCGTGCGGCGCGGTGGGTGCGTGCGGCGCGTGCGGCGCGTGCGGCAGGTGCGGCGGCGGGTCGGGCTCGTCGAGGTCGAGCGCGGCGTCGATCATGGTGGTGTCGTGCAGCAGCCGCAGCCGCGACGCGCTCAGCCCGCCCGCCCCCGGCCGCACCTCTGCGAACGACGAACGAATCAACACTCGCACGTTTCATACGTCACGCCTTAAACTTTTTGCGAACGGATATGGGACCATCCAAAAAAATTAACTGCAAAATTCATGAGATTCGATGCTGTAAAACTATCCTCGGTCCGGGAGCCCCTCGACACTCACCGTGCAGCGGCACCGGGTCGAGGTCGAGGCTGCGGTTGGCGTACGCGTGCCGCGCCAGGCCCGGCCCGTCGCCCGCCTCGAACAGGTTGGTGTAGCTGCCGCCCCCCGCCAACGCGCCCTCGCCCGCCGACGCGGGGGCGGGGGCGGGCGCGGGGACGGGGGCGGGGGCGGGGGAGGCGGCCGCGGGGGCGAGGACGCGCGCGAAGCTCGCCGGCAACTCATCCTTCACGTCGATGGTGAAGACGCCCCGCCTGAATGTCACCGTGATGAAGCAGTTCTTATACGGTTAATTCTATATCGTCAGAGAATTAATCGATCTCGACATTCTTCCGAGATATATTATTGATATTTTTTAAAGTGCTTTCGGCCTTCTTTTCCTGGGATCGTTTGAATTGAAATAGAATCGACTTTAAACTTTTAAAAAGTGAGAAATTATACTTATTGTAGAGTAGTAGGAAAAAAAAACCGCCCGACTTCAATAGCCGTTTCTTGAATAATTAAACCACTTTTAGGATAATTAATTCTAAATTATTATAATTGATTAATTTTGCATTCACGATGCTACACTGAAAAATATTCTTAATGAAAAACGTTTAAAAAAAATCTATTTTGTTCCTGACACTCTGAGATGGGACTCGAACCCATAAAGCAGTCGCCCGGATGGCGAAAGCATTTTTTATTAAAAATAATTCTAACTCTTATAAAGTTAAAAAGTCTGTTCCTTTTTTCAATTATTTTACACTTAAATTGACACTTAAATTTTTCTGTATTAAGTATATATAAAAATATAAGTATCATCAGGTATCAGAAAATCAAACTAATGCAAAATACGTCATTTTTTGTTTTTCGATTTTATAAATTTTTGGTATTTACCAAACCGCTTCCAATTATTTTGTCATAAAAAACTACCAATTATCTCATCTACTCGTAGGTTATCTATGAATTGTATATTTTTTCTAAATTAAAAAAATATATCTACCAAAACAAAATACGTGTCGAATTATAACCTCCTCCGTTTTTTTTTCGTCGGTTGAAAATAAAACGAGGATAAATGTAAAATAGTAAATAAAAACAAACGGAATTTTCACGACTTTTCTTCGGTCCCTTGTAAACCTATCATTTCATGGATCGGTCCAAACCAAACTTGTTTATTCAGTGTAGGCTGCTGCGATCACTTGTGTCGTGAATGTTGAAATATTATGCCATCGCCTTAAACCAGGGGTTCCCAACCCTTTCTTAGGTCAGGACCACTTTTATATTATTCTTGTTAGCAGGGACCACTATGTAAGTATAATAAAAATAAACTGTAATAATCAAACTGAAACTTTTTATTAGCAAATCAATAGGATATTACATAACTAGAAATAATAATATTATAAACTTCTGTAATTTTGTATTAATGTGATTTCTGAGCTTGCATTTTCTTCACGAGTTCAGCTATCCTAGGAATAATATTGTTACTTACTTTCAAACGATTCCTCGATTTGTTTTTCTCTACTAAATCGATGTTGAAAATACCATAAAATAGCGCAAGGCGATTTCTCGAAGTTTAACATAAGAAATTGCTTTTTTATACCAAAACTACTCAAGTGAATTCGATTCAAAAGCACCCTTCAGTTTCTGTCATTTTGTAATTCAATTAGTTCTTCCTGGATTTCATTGTTTTTGTCTTCCACAAGTGCTTTTATTTTAATTGCAGAACAATTATTTTCTTCAATTTTACGTAACCACGACTGAGCTTTGCAAATAAAAGCGCGAAGTTTATCTTCAAAAATAAATATTTTTGCGACGTTTTCTAATTGTTTATTTCCGGAACCTTGCAGTTGTATATTTAATTTATTTAAGGGTGTGAAAATATCCACAACATAAGCCAAATTCATTTGACATGCTGAATAAGTGAACAAATCATTCAATTTTAGTCAACAAAAAAAATCTCAACCTCTTCTAGTTCATACAATCTTCCCAACATATTACCTTTCGATAGCCATCGAACTTCTGTGTGCAAGAGAAATGCCTCATGGTCAGAGTCCATTTCAGTGCATAAGTTTTTAAAAAGGCGTGTATTTAAGGCGCTACTTTTGATATAATTTACAACTTTTATATCAATTTTCAGTGCATCATTAAGACATTCAGGAAGAGTCTTAGAAGTTAACGCCCGGCGATGTATGATACAATGCGTTGTTATTACCTTATGATTTTTCTATTTTACTAACGTTGTCATCCTTGAACGTAATCCCAACATGGCTGGAGCACCATCAGTACAGAGGGCAACGAGTTTATCCCACATAAGATTGTGTTTCTCAAAATATATACAAAGCGAACAAATACAAGTAATTGACAACAATTTGAAATGTCGATCGATTCATCAAACTGCAAGGCGAAAAAAGTCGACTTTTTTATTCTTGAAATCAGTCGCTCCTCGTGTCCAAATTTTATATAAATATTGTCATATTTTCTCATAGGCGCCATGTTATGGAAATAGAACATAAAAAATTAAACCGAATAGAAACAAAAAAAATAGTGTAAGTTTAGGTACCTATCTTAAAATGATCGTGTAAGCTAGATTAAATTAAAATTATAGCTATGTAATTTTGAAATAATATCCAAAGTTGTTTTAGTTTTCAAACAATATACTACTTTGGCACGATCCCGCTAAAAAATAAACAAAAATAGACGCATTGAAAATGTTTGGCCCGTATTTAACGATCATTTTAAATACCTACAAAAAGGGTTTATCAAAACAAAATGTTCACTTACCTATTATATTATTTTCGAACATATTCAAGAAATAAAGTTAAGAATAACGGTCAGTAATGAATGATTCACTTCCTCGCACAGATAGTAATACTAAATACTAATCCTGACACTCAAATATAACAAATGAATGACAGCGCAAATCGTAGGTTATTCTTTGCACACGCACTTTACAAGTTGAATCGTAAGCAGCGTGTAGCACCTTCATCGAGTCCCGCGTCCCGCCCCCGCCACCCGCGCTCTTCCAAGCCGCCGCGTGAATGAGGAAGTATTTAAATATAAAAAGAAAGCACCAAAAAAGCACCTCCTCTAGATGGCGACTCTAGCAAAAGTAGATTTTTGCAGGATACGAATGGACCAAAGATAGTCATTTCCGTTCCTTTTAACTAACATAGTAAAAAATTGAAATTCGCAAAGTTCGAAACTTAAATATCAATACAAATACGAAGAGCTACAAATAGAAAATGAGTTCTGTATTGAGTTTTGAAAACTAATTTACTTTTAGACATGAAAGACAAAGGAAGGGTTGTCATGGAGAAATCAAGAAAGTACCGTAGCGACATCTAGTTCAATTTCGGCAACTAATGGTTTTTTTAAATACTTCCTCATTGTCGAACTAAAACGGCTCACTGCGCGCTAAATTTAAAATTATTCGCCGACCGTATTTGTACTTCTGTGGACCACTGGTTGGGAACCAACACAAACCGACAAGAAACTCGACAACTCCAGAGTTCTTCGCCCCGTTTTATTTCATAGCAAGGTCCAACGATACGTATCCATATATATATACATAAACGTTTTGGCCCTCCGATGACGTCGACGGGGGCGTGTATGTGAAATCGAGCTCGCTAACGCAAAATATTTAATTAGATTCAGAGTATAGGCCATCGGGGCGATATTCAGTTTTCGCTTTTTACATAAAAAAAATGATCTCGCTCACTCTACACCCGATAGTGTGAATTCTCCAAATTATCGAAAATTTATCGGTACAACTCGACATCGGGTTCGGTCGTCGAACGACATCTGGGGAACCGAACCGGCGACGATTCACAAGATTTTTCTTCTACAAGTTCGCGGTCGACCGAGCGGTGTTCTCTTTCTCAACACGAGGGGCGCGATCTGAAGTCGACTCACCTGTCGATGAGACTGGGCGCGAGGGGCCCGCACAGCACGTGCCAGCAGTTGGCGCACGCGTTGCCGCGCGAGTACGGGTTCGGGTTCGAGACGCCGCGCCGCGTCGAGAACGACCCTTTTATCTGCGAACAGAACGCGATGACAGAGAGGGAAGCGCATCGAGAGGTCCGCGAAACGAACGACCGGGCGAGCGACTCACGTCTTCGTTGGTGGTCTGGTCGGTGGAGGCGAGGTACGTGTGGAAGCCGGCGAGGCCGAGCACGGACCAGACGGAGAGGAAGCAGACGGCGGCGACCAGCGCCGAGGCCGGCGACGCGCGCAGCGCTGCGCCCAGCCCCGCCCCGCGCGCCTCCAGCGCCAGGTGCGCCACCGCGCACGCGAACACGAACACGGCCAGGAACGACAGCGACACCACGAACGTGTAGAAGTACCGGTAGTTGCGCTTGCCCACGCAGTTGCCCACCCACGGGCAGTGGTGGTCGAACCGGTCCACGCAGTTGTCGCACAGCGAGCAGTGCGAGGCGCGCGGCGGCCGGAACATCTTGCACGTGAAGCAGTACTTGAGCTTCACGGGCCGGCCGCGCACCAGCACCTCGCGCGCGCGCGGCGGCGGCCGGCCCGCCTCCCCCGCGCCCGCGCCCCCGCCCCCGCCCCCGCCCGCGCCCGCGCCCGCCTCCAGCGCCGCGGCCTCGGCGGCGGCGGCGCGCGGGATGATGCCCGGGTCCGACAGCGCGGTCCGCAGCAGCGCCGACATCGTGAACAGGAACAGCGCCGCGCCCGCGACGGGCACGGCGGGGGACACGCGCGCCGCCAGGAACGGGCAGTCGAACGCGAAGTGCAGCGCGCACGTGCTGCAGATGAGCGCGAGCGTGAGCACGAACACGCCCGGGTGGGGCGCCGTCATGAGGCGGCCGTCGCACCAGAACCGATTGCGGCCGGCGAACACCTCCCACTTGCGCGTCACGCGCCGCGACGCCATCGCGGCATCACCGACTCTGCCCCCCCGCCCGCCCGCCCGCTCGTCGGGGCCGCCCGAACGGTGTCCCTGATGGATTTTCTTCCTATTATACGGGTCGTGTCGTTCCCGAATCGATATTAACGAGTCCCTCTTCGTCGTTAATATATTTATATAGTTCGGATAGAAAGATGCAGAATGTGTATCGGACTACTTTCTTATAAGCTTTTTTACGAGCCATCGTTAACTTGCCTCGTTAATATGTATGTTAGTTAGTAAAATCTTGGAACTCAAATTTGACCCACTTCCCGATGTCCGAGAGATTTGAAATTTAGCATAGACATGTATGTCAGATGACAATATTATAACGTCGGTAAGCGAATATAGTGATGAAGTCGGTAGGTGGTGATGGTGGAAGGTGAATAAGAATTTGGTGATGAAATGATGCGACTGCATCATGTTTGGGCTCGTTAGATCCGCCTTTATGAGAACTTCGGTCTTGAATGCTTTCGAGGCTAAGGTCTGCTGATGATAGAGCTGGTAAATGGTCATGGGAACTGAGCGATGAAATAATTCAACTGCATCCTACTTGAGCTCTTTAGATCTGTCTTTATGAGAACAACAACATATTGAGACGAAAGTAAAAATTTTTATTTTTTTTTTAAACTAGCTTTTATTTCTGCACACTAAAACGTAAATAAATAAGCATGTAAAAAAGTGTGTATTTTCTTGTCTTTGATTTCATTCGCGATTTCACAATCTCTATCAGAATTAAATGACAATTATTTTATCAATATAACTCGAAAATTCTTTTAAACCTTAACTACTGGGTTACCAAGAGTTATACAGATTAGTAAAATGATCCCGTAACTCTAAAAATACAGGTTAATATTATTTATTATCAGGATCTTTAAGGATCATGTTTCATTTCTAATCCTATTTATTTAATTGGCTACTCGGCTGATCAAAGGTCCGCTATGCAATTGAATGGTGCTATTTAATTAAATGGCTAGCCGCCTATTTGGATGGCTGATTTAACCACATGGCTGTGACCTATTTTCTTTTATTTATTTCAAAATTATCTAAACTAATGTATAGTTTAATTAAAGTAGTCGCCCAGATTACAAAAGTTTGTGGGTGTCAGTACCATCTTAATTTAATTTAGTAAACATTTTTCACGGGAAATTAATTTCATGGTATGGAAAATTTACATCAGTACAGAATTTTGAATGAAAAATTGATAAAATATAGCCACTACAGTTGCCGACTATGGAGGGAGTGGAGGGGGTGGTGAGCCCCGAGCCTTCAGGAGGCCTAGGGGCCTCCAAATGGCTTCACCTTTCCTCCAAAATCATAATAATATAATAAAATTAAAGTTGTATATGAATAAAGCTATGTCACCACAATATAAAAATATATATATTGCATCTGAAAGTTAAAAATAGATTGAAGACCAACAAAAATAAGACAAGCCACAAGATGAATATAGACAGAATACATGGGGATTAGACTTTCATAGTCATTTACATTGGATTAATAGCTTACTACAGAATTGCTACTGTGAATGAGAAGCAAAAAAATTATAACAGGTTATAAGGGCATGCTATAGAGGACACTGGACAGTCTTGCGTAGAAAGTTATAACTTCCACTGAAAAATTTAATATGTATATGGCATTAGAACTTAAACTTATAACTTAAAATTTATAAAAGGAATAATTATTTTGTGGATGATTTTTATTTATTCAGCACATACTTTCACATACTTATATATTACATTTGAAAGTATCTTAAATTACTATTATACCTGACAACTGAATATAGTTACAATATCTTCATTCCAATAGTGTAGATAACGTATATTGATACGAGCGTGATTGATATTTGAGATAAGAAATTCATGAAATGAATTAATAGCATAAAATAAAAACTAATGGGAGGAGTACCTGAGCAGAGTTTGTTGAGTAGAGCACTTTTTATACAGATTCCCACTCCTCAATTGTCGAATTATATGAAACGTTACTTTGACTTCAATCGGTGATCTCATAAACAGGAATACACACCTTGATGCAGGTAAAACGTAAAGCGACGAACGACAGTAAAACTGAAGTGCTATTCTTGCGTCGACTCAGTATTTTAACACTAAAGTTGTTAAAATTTAAGCAGAACTACAATTATGACGTGCAAAAAGTAATAATATATTTGCAGTATATAACAATATCGTAAGAACGAATTTAGGTACACATACAAACTATTACTTTAATTTTAAAACTTTCTATTGTGTAGATGAAGACAGTTTTTTTAATCACAGCAAAGAGTAAATAAAATAAATGAGTAAATTAATTAAATCCATAGAGAATCACAGACTTATTACCAAAGAGTAAGAGCAACAGACTATTTATGAAACACTAATGTAATGAGGAGTAGGGTATTTGACACTATTAAAAATAAGTTGCGTATTCAACTAGTTGGTCATCCTGTTAGATAATAATCTAATAAAGTTTATTTCTTAGAATATGCAGATAAAATATGTTCATCACCAGCCCTTTTACGTCCCCACTGCAGGGGCTCAGGCCTTCCTTATGGATGGTTAAGGAGGATGGGCCATGACCACGCTGGACCAATGTGGATTGGAGGGTAAAAATATGTTCAGCTTTAGTAAAATAACATAAAGAAAATGCAACATTATAGACGTATTTTATTATTGTTTCTATACGTGTAAAGACCACAAACGTGACATTGGCGGAGTTGTGTAAATGCAAATAGGCCATGAATTAAAAAAGAAGAAGAAGAAATTTCACTGTCATTAACGACAGATGATTGTCATTGTCACGTCATGCATGTGTCAGTCAATCAAAATGAGTACATGTTACGTTACCTAATATTTTGTTTTATTAAAAATAATTAATTAATTAAATAAGAAAACTTATGTTTCAAAAATGCTAAGCGAGATCTATAATTAGTATAATTACAATTAAATAATTATTGTGCTGAATGTGAAGAAATGATTTTATATTGAAAATCGTACCAATATCAGCACAATGTTTAATAAAATAAGTCAAGAAATGTTTCGAAGATGTCTGTGATAATCTTTTGAAAGCCATGGGAGTCATCGATGTGGACGCATCGCAGCGCGAGGCGCTGATTGTGGTAGGCCTGTGCCTAGCGTGGTACGCTACTAGCTCGGCCAGCAACGTGGCGGGAAAGGTGGTGTTGACAGATTTCCCGTATCCTATGACGGTTACTATGGTGCAACTGTTATCAATCGTCGTGTATAGCCCTCCAGCGTTCGCTCTGTGCCGTGTGCGTCGAGAGACAGAGTTTCCTCGTCGCTATTATTGGCGTACGCTGGTGCCACTTGCCTTTGCCAAGTTCCTCACTACAGTCTGCTCTCAAGTTTCTATATGGAAAGTCCCAATTTCATATGCTCATACAGGTAACCTCTTGGAAGAAATCAAACTAATAGATTTATCAATAAGTAATTCAATAATGGTAGTGTAAAAGAGCAATAGTAAATGCTATTGGTATAAACTAGATTAAATTTGGTTAGTAGCATATTATGAGTATAATTTTATTTCTTGGATTACAAAATAATTATGTTAAAAGAGTGGTACAACAGTATGACACCAACATCACCCCTGTCCACGATAAGCTACCTTTTTTTACCTACATCTTATCTAAACAATAAAATTAGTACTCGTGATTGATAACAGTTTAATTCTGGTGATTGCCTTTATCTACATGCTGTACTTTAAATTAATTTTTCTATGGCCTCACACTCTGTTGCTAAAATGGTCTTTAAGGTATAACAGGGTTCATAATCATCAAGATAATATGCATAAACCGAGCGTATTGTGTAGCTTCCTGTTGGTGAATGAATTTTATAATCAGTCCAATAGTTTCCGAGTCTATCCGATAATATGAGTATAAATTATTGGAAAAAATGATGTCGAGCAAAGAAACATAATCTCCATTCCTATTATATAAAAAGTATCAATATCACTAAAATGCATTAATTTTCTTTTTCAAATATAGAATGGGATAAATAATAATTATCTCAAAAGCGACTTATTTTCAGCTGAATCTGCGGTTCGGTAAAAGTTAAACCGAATACTATTCGGTATTCGAAACCACTATTCGGGGCATCTCTACTGATGTGTTTAAATTATCCTCGATACCAAAACGATCGTATCGAAGGAACCCTGAGCATTATTTAAATAATGTAAACGTAACCTTTAAATGTCTTCCTGCGAGAAGCGTATAGTATCGCACACACGCGAAACTCGTTTAAGAATAAAAGTGTCTCATCGAGCGAAGCTTCGAATCAACATACGCGGAGGAGTCGTTTCGTTTCGAAATAAAGATAATATTCGCGCGCGACATTCAGATCTGAACGCATTTCAGTGAAAGCGACGACTCCGTTGTGGACGGCGGGCCTGGCGCGCGTGCTGTTCGGGGAGCGGCAGCCGGCGCGCGTGCAGGCGGCGCTGGTGCTGATCGCGCTGGGCGTGGCCGTCGCGTCCGCCACCGAGCTGCGGTTCGACTCGCTCGGCCTCGCCGCCGCGCTCGCCGCCGCCGCGCTGCTGAGCCTGCAGCACCTGTACTCCAAGCGCGTGATGCGCGACACGGGCGTGCACCACCTGCGGCTGCTGCAGGCGCTGGGCCGGCTGGCGCTGCTGCTGTTCCTGCCGGCGTGGGCGGCGGCGGACGGCGCGGCTCTGTGGGCGGGGGCGGCGCCGCGGGCCGGCTGGGGCGGCGGCGGCGGCGCGCTGCTGCTGGCGGACGGCGCGCTGGCGTGGCTGCAGGCGGTGCTGGCGTTCAGCGTGCTGTCGCGCGTGTCGCCGCTGGCGTACGCGGTGGCGTCGGCGGCCAAGCGCGCCGCGGTGGTGGCGGCGTCGCTGCTGGTGCTGCGCAACCCCGCCACGCCGCTCAACCTCGCCGGGATGGCGCTGGCGGGCCTCGGCGTCTTCGCCTACAACCGCGCCAAGCTGCTGCGCCCGCCCCCGCTGCCCGTGTGACGAGCGATACTGTTTATTGTGCGGCGAAGCCGTCGGAGATTATTTTCAATAATAAAGTATTATTTTTGATTCTTCGGTGATTTCATTATCGATATCGATCTCCTTGTATAAATTGACCGATATCTAAGAGTCCCGTCGGATCCGATTCCGAGCGGACGGTGAAGTGGTCGGTGATAAATATGTATAGTGATTTTTTTTTTCATTATAGTGGTGACTCGGCTAGTTTTGGCTTCTCTTGGTTGTCGAAAGTTTACCGCTTGCGCCCATCGTTGTTTCTGTTGCGCAAACGTACGCGACCTTATCCGTGCCCTCGCCCGGGTTCTCTGCCTTTTCGGCGAAAATCGTCTGGCAGATCATCGTTTGCCAATCGACGTTTCGCAGAATTTTATTTCGCCGAATAATCATTTGCCAACTATATCACTCAGTTATGTTTTATTTCCCAACTTAACTTTTGCCAAACTGTACGTTTGGTCTGGCTTTTATAATGACACTTTTCACAAGGCCAACTTTCAAGTAGCGAACGTTTCAGATAGAGTAATATTCATTTAGTTATATATTGTTTACCACCACCACCACCAGCCCTTTTACGTCCCCACTGCAGGGGCTCAGGCCTTCCTTATGGATGGTTAAGGAGGATGGGCCATGACCCTCCACGCTGGCCGAATGCGGATTGGAGGGTATTAACGACTGCAAATGCAACCGGGACCAACGGCTTAACGTGCCTTCCGAAGCACGGAGTAGCTCGAGATAATTTTTTTTTTGGTCACCCATCCCGTGACCGACCCTTGCGAGAGTTGCTTAACGACTACGATCGCGGGCCGCGGCGCTTATCCACTACGCCACCGAGCTACACCAAATTGTTTACCAAATAATATATTAAGGAAGGTTTCGTTTAGTAACTAACTATGTAATATAATGTGGGTAAGCGTAAACTGACAATGTAGGAAGGTACAAATAAATTGACTCATAGGCGATAAGTGTTAAATTCATTGCGTGTGGACTGTTACTGTGTTATATGTTATTTGTGTAAAATAATAATGAGTGAGTTTAATGATGAGCGCTCTGTTTTTAATACTTCAAGAGGCGGAGTTAAGTTATTTAAAAATGGATTTACGTACGAAAAGAGCAAACAATCGAATAATATTTTTTATTGGAGTTGCGAACTGCGACGAAACAAGATATATAATTGTGCTGCAACTGTAAGCACGAAATTATGTGACAGTATTCACGAAGTGTTAAAGTGTCAGGATAATCACAACCATGAGCCCGATCCAACCAGGAAATGCGTAAGCGAATTCAAAGAAAAATTAAAAAGTTATTCGTTAAAGACATGTAAAATATTACAAAATGCTAAAAGCACTGTGTCCACGAATGTCTTAGAATGTTGCCGTCCACGTCTGCATTAAAACAAGTAATTTATCGCCATATAAGAAAACAAAATGCTATAAAAGAGCCCACTGATATTACTTTTGAGATAAACAGCACATACACAAATATTAAAAACGAAAATTTTATCATAAAAGATCATACATTCGATAGGAATAAAAGGATTTTGCTGATATCCACACTAAATATGATATCAATTTTCAGTCGTGCGACATACTGGCTTTTAGGTGGCACTTTTAAAGTTGCGCCCAATATATTCAAGCAGCTATATACCATACATGGGAATATTCTTACGGACAATAAAAAAACATTTCCGTTATGCTTTTGTTTGTGCACTAATAAAGATAAACGCACATATGATACAATGTTTGAACTATTAATTGAATACGGCAAAGAACACGGTATTAATCTATCACCAAAAGTATGTGTGTTAGATTTTGAAAAAGCTGCTATACTAAGTCTTCGTTCAATTTTTGAAGAAGTTTATTTACAAGGATGTCATTTTCATTTGGGACAAATCATATACAGGTGGACGTTGTTATTATTGTATTTTTTTTCCATAATTATTTTTCTAATGTTGCTAATATTTAAGTGCCCTGTGTAGTAAAGCGATTCGGTTCTGGCACTTCGCCGGCCGCTGCCGCAGCACGCTCGCTTCGCTCGCTCGGCTCGTGCGTTGTTGGTCGCAGTTCTAACCTAACCTAACCGATTTCTTACGATTTCACCTCAACTACGTTCCGCACTTTGAAATTTTGCAAATGGTATATAAATTTTTGTTGTTATATGTACTTATTACAAGTTTTTATTTATTTCAGGCAAGTTCAAGACCAGGGTTTCGCCAAAAGATATGCAAGCGACATCCAGTTTAATAAAGAGGTGAAGTGTTTGTTAGCACTCAGTTTTCTTGAGGAATCTGAAATATACGTATATTTCGAAAGTGTCTTAAAAAGTTTGAAAGATCCAGATTGGCAACAATTAGCGCATTGGTTCGAAAACAATTATGTACACGGAACATCAACCACACGACCTAAATATCAGCCTAGATTTTGGAGCTGCTATGAAACAAACAAGATGAATATACCACGAACACAGAACTCGGCCGAAGCCTGGCATAACAAAATAAACAATATTATTGATAAAAATCACCTAGGTGTTTATGAATTGATAAAACAATTAATAAAGGAAACCGTTGCCAACGAGGGGGAAATAGAAAATATATTAACAGGTGCCCCACCAGAACCCAAGAAAAAAAAATACTTAGACAAAGACGAAAGAATCAACAGAATTCTTGAACACAAATCTTCATATTCACTTGAAAAATTATTAATGTGCATTGCTGCTAATTTGAAGTGTTAATTTTTTTTTGTAATTCTTTAATAAAAATTGCATATCGAAATTAGTTTATTTTATATCATAATATAAATGTACGAAAAGGGTACTGTTATACAGACGAAACGTTATTCGTCTAAAAGTTGTCTGGCCTAGTGAAGGATTTGATAAATGATAAGTGCCCGGAACGTGTTCTGTCATTACAATAATGAGCTTAACAATAATTCTACCAAATGAAACATACAAAAATTTGACAATCATTAGTTGTCAAAGTGAAAATCAGGCGATCCGTTGGTTGGCAAGTGATAATCCGCAAAAAAAATTTCGGCAAGAAGGCAGGATACCCCTCGCCCGGCCTGTTGGTGGTGACCTAGACACCCTCCTGGCAAGTTTGTCCGCAGCATCGTTGCCAACTTTACTTTGTTTGTCACGACTAGTTATTGTTGACCGTTGTGACATTGGTAGATTGGTCCAGAGTGTACTGTCCGACAGGATTCTTATTTCGTTTTGTTCTACCTTCCTCGCCTCGATTGAAAGATTTTTGGTTTTGACCCTGAGGGCATTGGTATATGTATAATAAAGCTCAGGTAAGTATGTGCCAGCTTCAGTACCATAATCGGTTTTTAATCTGTATGTATTTACCTTAAGCTCCTTTATGCCGGGGCAGTCTTTGTCGGATTTTTCCAACGATATTTTTTACTTTTTCTCGAAAATATATTGTTTTGGAATTTCATCCAGAATTATCCTATGAACTTCTCTACTTCGGACCCGTTTACGTCGCTGCCGTAAGCGTGGTTCGCAGTGTTGGTGCAGCAAGCTGCTCTCTGGAACTTTTAGATTTTTTTTACCTATGGTAGTTACTAGTTTTGCTCTGGACCACCAGGCCACCGCGCCATACGTTATTTGTCGTCTGATTAAAGCATTGTATAGCCATAGAGTGATTTTAGACGACAGACCATGGGGTCTGGGTCTGTTTCTAGGCAGAAAATGGTTTCTGCCTATCACATTGATCAGATGCAATTAGCGCTGCTTGTTTTATATTGTAGACGTTTGTTCCATGACGATTTATCGTATAATATGAAGCTCAACATGCCAATTCTGTCAATGTTTACGTAATAATCGCATCTCAATAGAATCACAACTATTTGCAGTTTGTCTACTTATCTTCCTAAAGTCCTATATTATATATCACCATTGATTTGTGAGGAAGACAATGCACTAATAATATTGACCTCGAGTAGATAGTACAAAGGCAAAATGCAAATAGTCGAGGTTCTTACGTAAACGTTAGCAGAATTGGCATACAGGTATTTGCCCTCTGTTGCTAGGGCAAGTGCAGTACCAAATAATTTTGGAAATCTAGCCTTTATATAAATTGGACGTAGTTACACAAAAAGGATCCAATCCACAAATTGGTTGAAAATGAGTTAAGTATACCAAAATGTCCATTAGGAACTATACTTTCATATAGGAAAAAAGCTGTTATAAATATTTGAAGTTTTTTTCAATGGTAGTTACCATCCCACATCTTTGGTAGTTTCATATTTAAGTTCCATGAAAACGACTCAAACTTCTTGGTTCCATATAGTAAAATAGCAAACTAAAGGCACTAATCTTGGTTAAAAATTACCTTTATTGTATTTTTTTTTATCAAAACGCTTGAATAATTTTTGTTTAAATGTAAGTAGGAAGGTAATTTTAGGTAGTGAGAATACATTTGACATTAAAAATTAAAAACAATAAATATAAAGAACCTTTGATAAATAGTTTTTATAATTAAATTTTGGTGTTTCAGTTAATTATTCTATTATTTCTTCATTTGGATCGTTTTTGAGAATTGTTTAGGATCCAAAGATACTTTAACCTTTATATTTTAATAACTACTGATGGTTCAGTTAAAATGACATTATAATAAGATAATGTAAGTAGTTTTCTATGCTATTAGATAAAAATATAATACACAAACATGTTACATCAACATGCAAATACAGTTTAAACTTCAATTGTCTATATCTCAAAAGTAACTTTTTTTGGGATGGATCCTTTTTGATTTACGTCCAATTAATAAAATTGTAATATGATAAGATAAAATTGTAATATACTGGTAAAAATACCAGTTTGTCTTGATTTGTTGTGTTTCTTGTTAAAGAAAAGTAGGTAATATAAATACTTAAATAATAATCTAAACAATACCCTCCAATCAGGGTTAAGGCCCATCCTTTTTAACCTTCCACAAGATTCCATGCTAATATCTATGAATATTCTGTGAAAAATCAAAGATTGTAGCTTATAAGGGATTTTACAGACAGAGAATGCTTTGGATAAGAGATATTAAAAGGATTTTATGACAAATGAGCATTTTGAAAAAATGCCGAAAACCATACTATTTTATATAATAATTATTTTAATTCATTTGAATTCACAATGCTGTATTTATATTTATCTTATAAATAAAAAACATACATAGCATATTTGCTTGGTTACTGAGAAAACATGCCTATGCATTATTTGAATTTCAGAACCAATACATGAGATACCTATTGGGAATCAATTTATTAAATAGTCTTGAGATTACCAACTAATATCTACAAATATTATAAATTACAATATTGATTGAAATAAGAGGTTTTGAAATTGAAACAATGACTCATAAAAAAAACTCAGGTCTAGTTTTAATTTCAGACATTATACCATGTTCCACTAGAGGTGTTGTGAATCTGTCAAATCGGTTCCCGGAGCACACATACACTGGCCGCTTCAAGAACGATGAAAGCCTTCGTGCCATTGCTGTGCCAATGTCCTCAGTACCTAGCAAAGTCGTAGCGATAGCTGTCCTGCTGCTCGATCCGTTACTAACATTTGTTGACATTCCTAATGCTATTTCATTGAGTTCACATTGACTGTTGCCCAGATTGCCTACCCAAATTAGTAAGGAGTCGATCATTTTCAATACAGCAACTGTACATAGCACTTCGCCGCTAATTATTTTGAACTGATGTACATTCCAGTTAGGAGTTTTATACACTATTTTGCATCGAGAAGTGACTACACGAGGAGTTCTTTCTAAGTTCATTTCGTCTTTATCGTCAACGGAATAACCAATTAATTAAATAAAAACACCAGTTTAGCGGTCTAGGTCTAGTCACAGAACAAAATCAGGGCTATGACACTGTAGTTTCAAAATGTTCCGTTTTGGCGCTGCAATCAACTGCGGTACGCCGCCATCTTGTGACGTTTGCCATTCAGTGTTATTGTGACGATAACAGAGTTGAGTGTTATGGTGTTTTGTGTATTTCCTCGCTTTTTGCTTGAGTTGAGATCCAAAATATCCAATTTCTCCTGTGTTATTTGTTACATTACTTTCAGTTTCTTAGTGTTTGACTGTATAAATTGTAAATTTATCGTCATGGTACTATTAAAATGTTGTGTCGACGGTTGTAACGCAACGAATAAGACGCACCGGCTTTTTAGTTTTCCGAAGAACGATGATTTAAGGAAGCTGTGGATGTCTTTCCTAGTGCCAACGAATTCGCTCCTTATCGGACTCTCGAAAGAGCAGTTGCTTCGGAAACGTGTTTGTGAAAAACACTTCGACAAACAACAGTTTGACGAACGTGGCCAAAGACTTCGATATTCTTATCCATGCTTGTTTACCGAAAACGAAATAGCTTATGGTATTCCGCTTTCGTCTCGTAAATCCGGTGAGTACATTTAATACCTACATATTTTATTGGACTAATAAAAGCTTTTAACATGAAAATAGTTTAAATTTATTTGAAATGTTCAGTATGCATTCTTTGTGGCAATTTTTTTTCTCTTCATTGCTTCATTTCTCTTTTATACTACAGTTAGAACTCTGGTAACTGAGGTTTGTTTGATCAAGATTATCTAACATGATTTTATAGTATTACAACATCATTACATGGTATGAAATAAAGTCGGTTTTTTTTGTCTGTAGCCTTTGTTAAAAATGTGTAAAATAGAGGTGAAAAATGAATATATTAAATTCAATATTTATAAACTGTTTCAGTGACTAATGCTCTAAGTGATCATAATTATTCTAAGAAGAAAGTTGATAAGGATGATGAGGTTGCAAAGTGTTCAATCAATATAGGAAGGGCAGGTATGCATACTATATTCCAATTATCCTATAAAAGTAGAGCCATTGATTATGGAAAGACAGAATTGTATGAAAAATAGCATAGTTTATTTTAAATACAAACAATAACTTGTTAAGTCAAAATGTTGTAATAAAAGTAAGGCAGTGACTCAGCAAATACAAATAATTGTCAATGGGTGTTTTATAACTATATAAACAAGGCTATAAAATAATCTATAAAATGATCAATATAAAATAGGAGACTTAAAGTTAAGAATATTTATTATTTATAAATTAGTTTGACTTGAACTACTTATATTTAATAAAATATTTACTTTTGGGCTGCATATCAATTGGCTGTTATGGTGTCCTGTACTTATAATAAAATTAAGATTCCATTTTTATATACATTTTTGCAAATAAAATATTCTTCTTATTGATGGGAAAATAGAGTGATATTATTGGGAAGTTGTTTTTGAGCCTAAAATAGCAATATTTATTATAGAAACATATCTTATACTTTCATTTTAATATATTTTTGAGAAATTGTCTATAACCCTTCTTACATTTGCTAAAATGTCAGTTAATTGATTATTCTATTATTGTGGATTATAGTGTTAATTAATTGTTGCAGTTCAATACACCTTAAGTGATCATGATTACTACAAAGTGATGGATTATGAAGATAATGAGGATTCAAATTCTTTATTGGTCAGTGGATGGGCAGGTATGTTTTCTTTTATCCTATTTATAAACTTTTAATATTATGTTGTGAAACTTTTTAAAAACTTGTATTTTTATTTTCCAGAAGAGAATTTTTATGAATTTCCTTCATGCTCAAATTCACAACTGCCGTCTTTAATCTTGGAAAGAGAAAGTGGTAAGTGATTATATTTTTGTTATTGTATATTGAATTGCTTCTTATTTTAGTTATTGTTCTTCTTTCACAAATATGCAATTCCCTATTTATTCTGAATACATGTAAGCTAGCAACGAAATTTGACAATCTAAAATGCTTTCGGTGGTTTTGTATTTTTACGATTTTTTTTTATTTTATTTCCAGAATTTCATTCTAAACACTCAGTAGAGGTTGAAACCATCCAAGAAGATAAAAATTGTTTTCCACAAAGACACACCCACAAAGGTACATTTATACTTTTGATAGTATGTATTAGTTTAAATAAAAGAGCATTGCAATTGTATAGATTTATTCTATTTCTTTTCACTTCTGTTTTTAAATACTGTCAATTTGTGATAATAGTTAAAATTAAATGAAACTTTTTCATTTCATTTCTTCAGGTTCAGCGAGGAAAAGGCTATCCTCCCAGAAAAATAAATTTAGAAAAGATGTTTCTAAAGTTGCATCAAATAGCATCGGGCAGACAGCAAAGGAAAGACTTGAACAAGCTGCACAATTTGCAAATAATCGGCACTTATTTCAAAACTTCAACTGCTTAACAAAACAGGCACAAACATTTCTGTTAATGCAGTTGAAGCAAAGTGGAAAAAACAAAATGGCTAGAAGATTCACTCTAGATGAGAAATTAATAGCTTTAATATTAATGAAGCAGAGCCCTAAGTCGTATAAATTATTAGAAAATATGTTTTCTTTGCCAAGCAAACGAACATTAAATCGCCTGTCAGAAAAGATCATTATAAGACCAGGCCTGAATATTAAAATTTTTGATTATGTGCGAAATCATACAAAAAATTGGGACCAACAAAAAAAGCTTTGCACTATTGTCTTTGATGAGATTTCTTTGACACCTCATTTGTCATATGATGAAAAAACTGATGAAATCCATGGATTTGTTGATGTAGCTGGAGAACGAAAACTAAGATTTAGTGACCATGCTCTCGTATTTATGGTCAGAGGAGTATGTTCTTCTTGGCGACAAACAATAGCATTTCACTTTTGTGAGGGAACTGTTTCCTCAGCAGCACTTCAAAATATTTTGAAAGAAATTATAACACAAGTAGCAAAGACTGGGCTTATACCTTTGGGTTTGGTATGTGACCAAGGGTCAACATTTAGGACTGCAATAAAAAATTTAAGAAAAGACACAATACAGATGCGAAAAGTTCACAATAATGCAGATGGTGAGACATTAATAGTTTAAATTATATTTTTAAACATATTTCACTCATATTTTTAAACCTTTTTGTAATTAAATACAAAATTTTACTCTGTTATTGCACTAAATATTAACTAAAATTAGAACAAATACTTTAAGTAATTCAACAGTCTGTCATATATAATAAACTTTAATTTGATATAATTATGCCCATTGTGTTTAAAATAAAATAATGTTGATTTTAATTTATTTTCAGATGGTACTATTCACATTGCTGGATATAATTTAAGCGTATTCTTTGATCCACCTCACCTTTTAAAGGGATTACGCAACAATTTCTTAAATAAAAATATAATTTGGGACCAAAGAACTGCATCATGGAAAGATATCCAATTTATATATGATTTGGACATTAAATTAGGGCATACCAGGACCTTACCGAAATTAACAGCTCACCATGTCAACCCTGATAAGAATAAAAAAAATGAAGGTCAGCGTGGCGGCTCAAGTTTTCAGTTTTCGAACAGCTGCTATGTTAAAATATACCCATCAAATGAGTAAGTTTATATAAATTGTTTCAAATACTAGAATACATATTTCAAAAAAATAATAACATATGTATTTTGTATTTTACTTTTGACTGACTGACTATTATATACAAACCAATGCTGAAACTTATTTCAAGATCCTTAAAACCAGTTCTGATTACATTTCCACTCTTTCTTCTAATGTATTATTTCATGCCGTGTGTTTGCGTTACGGGTATTCTACACGCCGCGGTATTATACGCGTGCAGGTGAACGTGCGCCTTTATGTCGTTTTCTGGACACATTCAACAAAACGTTTTCTCATGTAGACATTTTTGCAAGCAATACATATCAATCTAAAAAGTCAATTAGAGAACAACTGGTTTCCTTACGCACTCTACTAAACTACTGTCTTCTAGATAATTTTTTTTTTTTTTCAATGTTTCAACCTAATTTTAGATGCTTTGTTTTATATCGATTTTAACACGATTTAGTAACATGTGGATAGCGGTGTGGGTTTCACAATGACCTATACATGTTTATTGTAACATATCATTGTATTACCATGTATTGTGTTAACCGTTTGTTGTCCCAAATAAAATAAAATAAAATTTTCATACAATGATGCAAAAAAATAATAAGAAATATTTCTGATACATTTGTTGATGTATATATACTCACTTTTAATTTAATTTTCAGATAATTTTCATGGGCATACGTCAGGCAGTATGGCAACAACTGCAGAAGTAGTTGAATTTATCGACAAACTGTTTGACAGTGTAAATGGTTATCCTGGTGGTGCAATCAAAGGCAAACTACGAATAGCTGTAAAACTTAACTCACCTCACAAGCAATTTTGGACAGAAGCCATTAGGAAAATAAAACATTTAAAATTTGAAGACATAAGCAGTAAATTAGCCCTGCAATCTGGAAAACCTCGATTTGTGCGAGTACCATCACTTGATGGTTGGATAATAACGCTAGAAAGTTTTATTAGGATAACTAAATTATTATTTGAAAAATATGGAGTAGCATACTATTACCCACGCAACATAAACCAAGACCCACTAGAGAATTTTTTCGGACGTGTGAGGGCTCCTCACACGTCCTGGCTGTAATATAAATCCAGATGCAAATACATTTATATATACATTCAAATCATTATTATTGTCGAATGTATTAAGCCCTCACTCAAAATTTGCAAACTGTGAAGTGGATAGTGGAGACACATTGATTGATGGAAATTTTCTGTTTCAAGACTGTCATCAGGAAAATATAAAAAATATTAACATTAATTGTGCCTCAACACCATCCACTTCACAGGACAACAAATATAAAAAAATAACAAAAGATGAGGTGGTTTTAGAAAAAA